TTTTGATCTCCTGACTTAATATTTTCCCCATGGTACTTATTATACAAAATAACACACTACATTATAAATAATAAACAGATGAGAAAAAATAACCCATGTGTCCAGATCCTTGTTTTTCCTTGAAAGATTTGAAATTGAAGTTTATGTTCTACTTTTTAAATGTTGCCAGGTATTCTTAATTTTCTAGAGAACTTGAGCATCTGAATATTTATGTTATATCTTATAATTTTTCAGTGTTGGTTACCAGTTCAAAACAACTTTAAGCATTTTTTGTACCAAAGAATATGTGTCTATGGTCCAGAATAGGCCATGGAACACTAGTTGGTGACCCATGTCGTAGATTTGTGGAATGCTGGAACTATGAGAGACCTGGTAAACTGGTAACTTCTAGTGAGGAAGTACAGCCTCAGAGAAATTAGGTACTTTTTCCAGGGTCACACAGCTAGCCTTTAGCAGAACTGGATCTTGAGCCCAGGTTTCTTGCCTTCTAATGATCTCTCACATTCACCACACTGCCTGCTAGGCTGCCTCCCTTCTGCTGAGAGCTGAGCTAATCTGCCCTGTGCATAGGACAACATTCTGTTCTTAGACCCCTTCCTCACAAAGAATATAACAGGGTTATCACACCCATCTGATAAGCCCTAGGCAATTCTCCCAAGTGTGTATAAATTTACCTGCCTTCCCAATCTTAGGTATTGCTTCTTGGCACTCTTTATTGCTTTTGCTCTAGTGGCAGAAATCAAGACAAGGCTTTATAGGAATGTTATTAGCATTACTGCCAACCAGAATTTCCTTCCAGTAGCGTCAGTATGGTCTAGTCCAAAGAATCTTGCATGCAAAGTTTAGAGAACTGGGTTTAATTCTCAGATGTGTGACCTGAGACAAGTTATTTAACCTCCTTAGCTCTCAATTTCCTTAACTGTAAAAGAGAGAAAAATAAGATCTCCCTCTCTTATCTGCTGTGAGTCTAAAGTGAGATAATATGTATGAGAGAACCTTGGAAAGAGAAGAATATTTAGAACTATGAGGATACAGTGTCATTATTAATTCAGCAGAACAGTTACTGTTTCAGCAAAACAGCACTTACTATGTAAATGCTAACATGCCATTTAGTCAGAGCATGCCAAGGATCACAAGGTCCAGCTGCCTTCACGAATTTGCAGTCTGAGAAGAGGTGTACCTGTATGGGAAGAGAGCCAGCACTGCAAAAAAGGTAGAGATGACAAGACCTGAATGAAATGTGTAGACTATATGAAAAGAGAGATTGTGCTGGAGAGGAGTGACTTGTGAAAGAATTCCTGTAGGGTGCTACATTTAATCTGTTCTTTGGGAAGAAAATTGGCAGGGCAGGGCCATCAGAGAGAAGAAAGACATACTAGACAGGGGCAACAACACAAGAGTTGATATCACAGTGTGTGTTAGAGACCTAATCTACATAGAGTGGAGGTTTCAGGTAGATGCTGACAGGTACATTGCTTGTCTAGCTTCTCCATTGGGCTGGAAGGGCCTCTTCCATTCCCTTCTCCACTCCATGCAAAAGCAAAAGTCAATGCACACTCTTCATGAAACTAAGGCAGAGGCCAAGTGGGACTGCAGGTATCACTGATTGTGTTACAAGAGGACCTATACTATGAAATGAGCATAATAGTTTCTAGTTCATAGGGAAGGCTATTCTAAGTTTTACATGTGTGGATGTGCTTTAAATATTTAGCACAGTATCCGATATGTGATTAGCACTGAATAAATGTTAGCTGTCATCATCATTATCAAGTTTCATCTCATATTTAAATCAGGAGGTAATAACATAGGCTTTGGAATCTACCTGATATTAAATGTATAACCCTGAGAAAGTCTCATCACCTCCCTGGTTCTCAATTTTCTGGTCTTTAAAATGGGAATGCTAGTAGAGCCTAGTGAAAAGGGCTTTTATAAGGATTAAATAGTTAATCCAAGTAAAGCACTTACCACCATGCCTGATACATAGTAAACACTCAATAGGTACTAGCTACCACAATTTTTTTTGGAGAGGATTTTGCTATAGGGCACGTGCATTCACCATAAAGACAGAGAGAGACAGACAGAAAGCAAGAAATCATTCCCCCAGGCGGGATGGCCATGCCACAATCCCTTCTCCTCCATTCTCCTTTAGGGATCTTGGGCACACACGCACATGTGCCCAGCGTGAGTTTAAGCCACCGGGTCTGGGACTCAAATCATTGTGGGCTATATGGGAGTCCAACGACATAGCCATTACACCAACTGCTGGTCCCGATACTAGCTACTACAATTATTATGGCCAGTTGATCATTAATGTAATATGGTTGCATAACCAAAAATTGGGGAAATTGAGAAAAATAGACAAAATCATCCCAAGTACTACTAGGACTCAACTCTTTGTTATTATTTGGAATCTACTTCTCAAATCTGAAAATTTTTTTGTTTAGAAAATCAAGACTGCTGAAAATGGTTTTAATGTGGTATGCAGTGGGAATTTCATTAAACATTTACTGAGGACCTACTATGTGCTAGCCAATATTCCAGGGGCTGAGATATAACAGCAAAGAATAAAGAGGACCAACATGATCTTGCACTTAAAGAACTTATAGCTCAATAGAGGGACATAGGAAAAAAAAAAGTAAAATATTGTGTTATATGAGATTAAGTAGAACAGGTAAAAACCTTCAGATGGAGTGATAAGGAATTCTGAAATGGTCAGGAATGTGTGTGTGTGCGCGTGGTTTGGGGAAGAGAGAAAGCTTACATGGCCTATACTTTTTTAAAATTACTTTATTTCACTTTATTATTATTATTTGTTTTAATTTGACCAGAGAAATACAGAGAGAGAGAGAGAGACAGACAGAGAGAGAAAGTGAGAAAGCTGCCCGGTCCGAGACTTGAACCACCATCAACCATGTGAGAGTTCAGCATCTTTAACCACCACGCCAGCTGTCCCAATGACCTATACTTTTAAAGAGGGTGGCTGGGGAGGCTCACTAAGGTGATCTTGAGTCCAGCCCTGAAGAAGGGAGTGGGACATGCAGGTGTGTTTAGGAAGAGCACTGTAAGCCGAGAGAACAGCAAGAGAAAAGTCCATAGTCAGGAGTGTCCTTGGCATTGAAGAAACCACCAAGAAGCCAATAACCCAGGAGTGAAGTGAACAAGGGAAAGTGTAATGGGATAGGCAATCAAAGAGGTCACAAGGATCAGCTTGTTTACCATTGTGTAGGTCAGTGTGATGACTGCTGTTTATAGGGAGTGAGAGGAGGAGCTCCCCAGAAAAGCTTGTCCAGGGAGGGACACAATCTGATTTACAGCAGCTTACTAGCCCTCCTATAAGCATTGAGTTTAGCCCCTGTAGCCTTGTACAATAGTAAGCAGGAGGTAGCA